CTTGTAACCAACTATAAAATTTGCCACAATATGTTCTATCCTCACCTCCTCCAAGAACTCTTTCACGCATTGTTAGCCGCTTATAATCCTATTGGAATTTCCTGGACATGACGTTTCCTACTCTAAATCACAGCAAGTAAACTAAAAAATCATCCACAAGGTAGTTCCATTTTAGTCAATTCTTAAACAAGCCTTGGATTCCGCGGATTTATTTTTGTGACAATATGCTTCAAGTTAGATCGTCTATATTTTGTGATCGTAGTTTCTTTTTCACATTTAGTGTTCCCAATTCTTCGTGTTAATTTCCTTTACAACCTAGTTGAGATCCAAAAGTAACGTGCTAAATTATTAAATTGCCGACAATTACTTTGCTTTTGAATTTTAAAGTACAAACTAGTTATCATCGGGTTCACAATAGTTGTAAGATCTTAAACTCTTTCAATAAGTCCCTTTATTAACCCGGATTCTAAATAACTTAACAGTTATTAAGAATCTGGAATTTTCATTGGAATTTCCTGAGCATTTAACTTCCGGCTGTAGGTTATATCACCAACAAGAACGGTGTGCTTGTTTGCAGTGAGCTTTAACATACATCTGCCACAAGATGATCGATCCCAACCTCCTTCAACTATGCCATTTAGGACTAATAGCGACATTTATCCCGTTGAAAGTTTATTGGCGTCAAGATTTCTGCATCTGCTTCTTTACAGCAACATATAAAATCTGCCACAAGATGTTCTAACCTGACATTCTTCAAGAAGTCCCTTACTGACTACCAGCTGCTGTAATTCTGTTAAAAGTTTCTAGACGTAGAAACTTCCTGGTTTAGTTTATATCGCAAGTAGACTTAAAGCGCTACCTTGCAACTAAACATAAAATTAGCCATAATGTGTTTTTCTCTGAAATTCTCATATAAGCTAGGGACCTGCACTAGCTACTAAGTCTACGAAGTTACTTCTTGCGACTATATTCATTTTAAATTAGATCGTATATAGTTCGTGATTGCAGCTTCTTTTTCACACATAAGGCTTGCAATTCTCCGTGCAGGTTTTCTTTAAAACACAACTGAAGGAACAAAGTATAAATTACTGACAAGAAAAATCTCGTTTCCGTACTTGATTACTGTCTTTATGTAAGAATAGCTTGAATGTTATTTTTGAAAATTTTAAATATTTTTTAATATTGAATCAAAAATATTATTTAATAGATTTTTAATAAAATTTAAAAATAATTATTTACGAATAATTAAATACAATAATTATTTCCAAGACCACTGATGATGGGTATTTGGCAATATTCGAAACTGCTCTATGGTCAGCCAAAAATTCAATTAATTAAAATATAATAAAAAAAATAAAATTTTTATTGTTGTATTTTACTACTGTTCGATAAAAACCTCTTTATAGACTTTTAATATTTTTTTTAAAATTTAAATTTTATTTATATGAATAATTGTATAATTAAACAATTCAGTACTTACTATATAAGTATTTAAATTTCAAAAATATTTTTATTTATAATATTCATCATAAATTTTATTAACATTAAATTTATTAGTCCTAATTAAATTTAAAACAAGATAATAATCATTATGCTGGTCTTAATTAAGTATATTAAACTTATTGAATTAAAAATAGAATTATTAATTATTAAACAATAAATAATAAAATTTTGTTGTTATTATTCACTACTGTTTAAGGTACCCCTCTCTACTAAAGCAATAGTTTCTCATCATAATTGACTTGAAAAATCAAATTTAAATTTAAAATCAATTATATAAAAATTAAATAAATTATTAAATTAATATTTAAATATATAAAAATTTATTAATTTTTTATTAAAGCCATCAGGAATGGCCTTAACATTTTTAACGCTTTGCAAATGTAATAGACTTGGTACGGCTTCCGTCCATTTCCTTTCATTGCTACGCTTGCCATTTGCCATTAAGCGATTAAAAACAAAAACAAAGCATACTTTTCTGCTCGATAGAAAAGAATTTTCGAATGAGAGCAAGCAGAGTGAGTCCCGAGTCCCGAGTTTCAAGTTTAAATCTTTATTTATCTTCTGCTTAGTTGACCTTACCGCTGTGAAAGTGTTTCATTTATTTAATGCACAATTCTCCTAGACATTTTAATGTTTGGACTTTTAGTGCTGGTCCATTTTTTTCTCTATTTATTTTCTTTTTTTTAATTTTCCGAGTAGAAAGTTTGTATCTTTTTTATGGTATTTTATAAAGTGCGGATATAAGCACAAATTTTTTATTTCTATGTTTATACTTGTACTCTCGTCCATTTCAGTGTTTGCTGGTCTTTAATCTTTCGATTCAATGCAGTTTAAGCATGAGTTTGGTTGTGTGGGAAAGACACGAGGTAAGCAGCATAATAAAATGCAACAGACAATGTCCAGACTGTACAGACAAAACTGAATAAAAAAATATATGCGATAGCAGATTAAAAATCTTGCCGAGGACCGTGATTGCATTGATACTAACGTCAAAGGCTTTACCATTTAACGAGTGGATTCCTTTAAAGTTTATGTTTGTGTATCGCATTGTACCTCGCTTCTTTTTTTTTATATGAAAATGTTTATTTTATGAGTTAAAAATTAAACGAAGCGTGTTTTATTAAAATTTAAAAAATTAAATAAAATTGCATATTTCAACTGTAAATCAAGAGACTGAGAGAGAGAGTTTGAACATGAAACTCATATAAAATTGGTGGTCTGTGTTCATAATCAAAATTTTAATAATAACTTTTTAACATTGACTAATATGCAATAATAACAAATTACGTTCTTAAAAACATGAAAAATTTATTAATATTATTTTTACCCAGTTTTTGCTATGTTATTTGGTTTAATAAAAAGTATGGTTAAAAAATTAAAAAGTATATTTAAAACAAAAAAAAAAAACAAACACAAGCAGAATTAAGGAAACCAAAAGACAGTAGCAGCTTGAGTTGGTCTGCCCGAGCTGCATGACGGAATTCTGCTGAAACGTTCCATGTGGCGCTGACCGAAAAGGCGGTACATGCAACAAAAATTTCACAAAATATTGGCAAAAAAACTGTTGAAGTGTTGATTTTTGGTAGTGGAACTGAACGAAAAAAATTTTGCTTAAATGATTGATTTATGAATCCTACTAGGAAGTCATGTGTGCTTTGCCTTATTAATTTACTTCATGCAGCGCTTCCATGTACCTACTTGCTGACAACGTCGGAACGCCGGTGACAGGTTCATGTTTATGCTGGAAAGTACACGTAAACCTGCAAGAGGTACTTTACATATATGAAGAAAAGTAATGAGTAGAATTTTAAATGTGTTTAAAAGAGATTCGGTTCTCAAATATATTTCAAAACAAAAAAAAATCTATAAAAATTCTGCTGAAAACAATTTTACAGCCAGGTTTTTACTTATTATATACAAAATCTTGATATTAAGTTGATAATTCTTGTATGATTATCACAAACCTAACTTGTATCTATTACTCAATATAATATTCATATTCAGGAACTGATAGTAAAGGCATCTTATCACTTGCGAGAGATTAAATTTTATATTAATATATTTTTTGCATTTTTCCAATAGGGACTGTCGTGAAGCCTAACATTATTTAAAGTTTTCCACGAAACATATCACAGTACTAAATCCTTTTCAGATAATTTTCGATAACTTATTGGCAAATAGTCGACAATAGCTTCGTTGTAACTTGTCAATATGTGCTTTCAAACTATCGAAAATGTAAAGACTGTCCACATGAACACGATCCTTTGCTAACCTAACAAAAAAAAATCCAATGGTGATCAATCGCACGTAATTGGTGCCCAAGTTACACAAGTAAACCGCATAATTTCAAGTTCTGAACACATTTGTCACAACATACCCATAATAGAACGTGTGATATGACTCTATGATACAACACTGCTAAAACCACATATCTTAACTTAATATATAACTTTGTCATATTAATATATATCTATATATATATATTTTTTTTTTAAGTTAATACTAGACAGGTCTTAAACTGAAAATGGAGCCCTTTGTAATGGATATTGACAGAAGTCTTGACGACCTCATTACTGAAAAAAAGAAGCGTAATCGTGCCAAAAATCAACATCGTGGGCGCCAGTGCAGAAATGACTGGAAAGGTTTCCGTGGGCAGTATAAAAATCGAAAACGGCATCGGGTAATTAACTAAAAGAATTATATTTGTTATATATATTGTAAATGCATATATAAACCAAAATTTTTTTTAATTTTAGTTCTTTATTATTTGTTTATAGTCGCCCCCATGCCCCGGTTACGTTATGGTGCACAACCTTCATCCTCAAGTGGATAGTAAAGAACTCAAAATCGTCTTTGAAGTATTTGGACCTATTGATATGTGTACTGTACATTACAACTTGTACAAGAAATCATTGGGTAATACAATTATATATATATATATATATATATATATGTAAAGTTATAAATAATTATATACAATTGTACATACAGGCATGGCACATATAATATTTAAGTTTCGTAAGCACGCGGAGAATGCCATACATCAGTACAATGGTGGAAAACACTGTGGCAATATGATGTTCCTTAAGGAACCATCCTATACAGAGAAGAGTGAGAATATTTTATATATATATCTTTTAACATTAACCAAACATTTATTTTTTATTTAAAGATGTTCTGGAATCGTATTTCTTCAGCAAACGTCGCCATGATCAGAAAATACAACTTGAACGTCAACGTGACCGAGTAGACGATAGATGGAGCAGCGATGACAACTAATAGATTCAAAAACAATTATTTAAAAATATTTCATTCTAATTGACTTAATTAATTAGAACGCATTTTGTTTCATCATGTATTTCTATATTTATAAAAAAAATTTTCATTTTTCCTTTACAAATTGATATTCTAACATATTAAATAAGTACGAACTATTTACTATAATAAAGCACTTTGTTTTTATTTTATATATTTTATTTTTATTAAATTTACTTAATTTTAAACTTTTTATGAAAATATTAACTCAGGTAAAACATTTCAGAGTAATGAACCTTTAAGATAACAACAGGTTAATCAATTATTTTTTAGAGCAACGATATTGCTCTAAACACTTCAACGATATTCCAACTCTTTGAACTGAACTACTTTAAAAAATCCAATCAACATCACCTTTTTGTTTCAGGATGTTTATCCTCCGGTCTGAATTGAATTTGAATAGGGGGAAAAAAAATTATTAATCAGAATTAATCAGAAAAGCAAAAAGCTTTTCGTGGTCCAAGGTATTCACCAAATACATTCAAATAATATACTTACCGCCATAGGAAGCTCTCCGATTCGACGGTCATATATAATTATTTTATGAACCTTTTAGATATTTTTGTTAGTATCGGCAGTTTTAATCCACAATATGTATTAAAAATGTTCATGTAACATGCTTACTGCCAAAGCAAGCTCTCTGGTCTTTATTCAATGATCGTGCCCTTGATATCTTGTACTTCTTATATGATAACAGAATGGAGCCGGCCAATAGGTTTTAAGTGATTCCGTAGGATCGTCGAAGGATAACGATTTTCAGGTTTTTAGCAGTGGCGACGATTTTTTAATAATCGATCTTAATAAAGATTCAACAACTAAGACCACGTTTAATTTAATTTTTAATTTTTTTCATTATAAACATTCTGCTGCAGAGTTTTACTTAATTAAATGGCACATTTCTTTTACTAACAGAAAAATACTTATATATAAATATTTTAACACATGTCATCGTCCAATGAAATAAATTATTAAAAAAAATTTTAGTTGTAAGTTAGTCACTGATGCTTTCGGGATTACTTCAAAGCAAAGCTTTGTATTTCAAAGCATTTGTATCATATAGATATATATATATATATAATTTTTCAAGACTCTTAGATATATATTTTAAAATTGGGTGATATTTTTATTGGAATGACAATAATATTTTCAATTCTAAAATAAAACTCAAAAATTTCAACATTCATCCATTTTAAAAGTAATAATTGAATGTTTTGTCGTATTGAACCTTGAACTTGTAAAAGTTTGTCATATTTAAGATTATAATTTAATTTAATTACTATTTACTAGTGCTTCCCATGAAATTCTTCCACTTTAATTTTTAGTTATATTTTATAGGTAATTAAAAAGAATTCTCTTCAGCCAATTAAAATTTATTGCTACTGCCACCATATTTAAGACAAAACAATTTTATTTTCATGTTTTTTGGTACTCAACCCTATTAATTTCATTTAATAACTTCTAACATAAAAAATGGTAAAATTCCTAGACTATAATTATACCGTGAACTTTTCATTCACAGTTCTTCCTTCTAACACTCTACCTTCACTGAATAATAAGTAGTTTCACACTTTGATGAAACTTGTAACTATTATTAATGGAAGGAATTACGTATTGATTGTTCTTATATGATTTTTAAGATTAAATTGTAAAATAAATTTCAATACATAGACAATATAATACTTCTAAGTCTAAATCTCAAGAAATCCTAATGAAAGGTAATTTGTAGTAATTTTTATGGCAGCTGTTGGTGAACTAAATTCTACGGATCAATAGGGCTCGCTCTACACTAATAACTTAAACTAGTTGAATGTGTTTTAAAAAAAGAAACAATCGATTTTTATTTTTATTATTTATTATTTTAATATTTTTATTATTTTATTTTATTTTTATATATATCTTTTTTCATTTAAAAATTATTTTGTTTTAGTTTGAAAATATTTTTTTTAATTTAAATTATTTTTTTTTTTATTAAATTATTTTTTATATATGTTTTTATATATATTTTATAATATTTTTATATATATTTTATATATTTTTTTTTATAATATATTTTTTTTATATTTTTAGTTGGATTTGTTTTTAATATATATATAAAGTACATATATACTAAAAAACATGCAAATAATATATAGTACAACAGTTGATTTTTAAACTCGTTTAGTCGGTATCAAGGCCAATTATCATTTAAACACGTTACAGGAGTTGAAACTGGTTCAATGTGTTGAAACAGACGTCGTCAGGACTCAGAAGCTTTAACGTTCGTTAAAAATTATTTATTCAAATATACTTATATACTATATATATCTTTTATAATTATATCTATAAATATATCTTTTATATATATAGATTTATATATATCTCTTTAAGAACAGAAAGTTAAGTCAATAAAAATTAATTAAAAAATTAATTAATATATAAGGGTGGGTGGATATATAAAGGGTGGATATCCCTTACACAAGTAGGGTGCCATAAATTTAACATTGAACTATAAAAACTTAGAATATTTTTGTTTTTTTTTCTAGGTTTGTCTTATTTTCTTATTCAAATTACGAAGTAAAAGTTTTAAAACTAAAAGTAATTATTGTTATTATTGTCTTCTTCCCCATAACTGCAATTGTTACTATAGTTCTACGTAAGTCAAAAGTTTTGATTTTGTTTTTGTGCTGTAATTTAAGCACGTAATTTAATGTCTACAATTAAAAGTACAAAGTTTAAACCCCTAATAGTATGCAACGATTATTGGTTAACAATTCCAGCAGTAAATAAGTTATAGTGAAAGGAGTTCATTGTAAATGGATATCCTCAAAGTGATTTATAACAAATTTTAAGGTTTTATCAGTACCCATTCTCCACGTCTACATGCAATTCTTTTCATTCCATTTCAATTCTTCTCGTTCTATGTTATAATTTTATTTTTATTGCGTTGAATTTTTTAAATTTAATCACAAAAATGTTTTTAAAATTTTTAAAAGCCAAAAATTTTGTCATATTTGATACATTAAAGCACTTATATATATATATATATATTTATCTTAATTTTGTAAGGCAATAATACATCAAATTAGGCAGCAGCTTGCACAAATAAATATGCCAGATAATAAAAACCAAACCGCGCAAATTAAATAAATTATAATGGACATTGCAAAAACCTAATGAAGCTACCATAAAACATAATTCATCTGATTGCTGAAGAACGGCACAAACTGCACCGCCAACTCTGACTCCAATAAAACAAATGTTCATATATAAAAATTCTTTCCAAAAAAAATTTAAGGACATTATTTGTTGCGTATACAGAAAAACAGAAAATATACGCGACAAATTATAACGAGGAATGATTTCATCTTCGAATATTGCAGTTAGCTGTAAAGAATATGGACTCTAATAAAACCAACAACAACAACAAGAACAACAAAGAGTACAGGAAGAACCAGTATGAGCTTCAAAACTGTGTACCAATAAAAAATACCGAACCAAACCAAACCAAACATTTTGTACAATTTGTGCCTCATTGGTCTCAATAACAATATTTCATTTCGCAATGGGTGAAAAGCACATTATTTCTTCTTCCAAAGCCAGAACTTATGCCAAGACGCATTACCACTACTTCTGCCAAACAACCAGACATACCCACATATGCCGTTTACCCGCACTCTCTGTGTCTCTCTGAGGAGATGAGTGTGTTGCCGCTGTAATTGATGTTACCGAATGCCACTAAATTATCAATTGAACATAAATTTCCTCATTACGCGCATAATGCGCACCTTTGCTTGCAGTCCCCAGGAGCGGCCACTGCCAGGATGTTTCAACAAACTTTATATTTGTCTTTAAAACTAGTTATCTCTCTTTTATGAATCTTCTTCTGCAGTTCCAGTACTACTTTAAAAATATTATTATCCCCAACGCTATACGTTGTTTATGATAGTGCATCTTAGTAGATTTGGTGTCCAATGTGCACTGGCTGCTGGCATTAATGTCTGCATTAGTGCATCATTTGCCATTTCTCTGCTCAACAGCAAATAGTTTGCTGAGGAGGAAAATTATTTGCGGATAGTAAATTTTGAGTTATATTTGGGAATTACAAGATTTACAAATTTTTAAAAATAAAAAAAAAATATAGATGAAAACAATGCCTGAAATGTATTCAAATAAAAGCAAGAGATATATATTTAGAATTCTATTATCGTGTCTTAAAAAGGGGTGGGCAATGCAATGGGTTAGTATTTAATGTAAATAAATAAATTGATCATAAAAACTTTAATTTTTCAAACTAATTGTTTAATATTGAAATTAATTTAATTTAATTAATTTTTAATTATTTTTACTCGATGATTGTTCAATTAAATATTAATTAGGTTCTATACGCAAGAAAGAATATAAAACTTTACAATTAATAATGCCTCTACAAAAGAACAATATTGAAATTTAACAACATAAAAATATAATTAATTAATTTAACAATTCTACAGCTGGTCTACGATTTTGTTCTAATCTAACACACCAAATAAATTTGTTAATGAACTCTCACAGCAAATTAACTGGATCCATAGTTTGAACGTATAAGTCAGGTACTTAAGTCAAGTCAAGTACTAACTTTGAGTTTCAAATTTGGCTGGGTAAGAGTTCAACTTTAGGTACATGCAGTCTAAAAATCGAAGGACGAAAAAGGTCCCAAATCGTTTCGTGGTCTACTTCAGCTAATCCTTCATTTCAGTGGGACCACTTGTTGGATGGTGCGCTGTACCAATACACTATATATATGCGGTCTCAAAAAACTATATCCGAATAATTAAATCTAATAACTATGACAATAGGAGTTACGCGGATTGTATGGATTTGTCAAAAGAAAAAGTTAGAATCATCACAGGATATTGTGAAATAGAACAACACCTTACGAGGCTAAACATATATACGGATGCAAACTGTACAGAATCTACAGAGAATGAAGAGTCAGCCGCACATGT